TATATAGAATGATTACGTACTATTACTTATCATTCCTCCTTTTTTCCAGTTTTTAAATCTTTTGCCATTTTTTTCAAGTGAGTACTAAGGGTTGAACTCAAGGCCTTGAACTCTTTTTTTAGGGCCTTGAATTCTTCTTTTTTTGGGGGAGGGTCTGGTCGTGGGGCCTGAACTCTGGGCCTGGGCACTGTCCCTCAGCTCTTCAGCTCAAGGCTAGTGCTCTACCACTTGAGCCACTGCACCACTTCTGGCTTTTTTCTTTTGTGGTGCTGAGGAATCAAACCCAGGGCCTTATGCATGCAAGGCAAGCACTCTACCACTGAGCCACCTTCCCAGCCCATTAGGGCCTTGAATTCTTGCTCAGCATTTTTGCTCATCACTTTTTGTGGTTCACTAGATACAACTGGCTTCAAATTTAAATAGCCTCCAGAATGGCTAGGATTATAGACATGAATAACCAAACTACATGCTGAAGCTGTATAACCCATTACTCTCATCTGTCTCCACACCCAAACAAGCAGCCAGTCCTGTTGCCCATTTGAATCCCTGTTTGAAAGGACATGAAATGCACAAAATATGGCAAATCCTACCATAACTGATACCTGCCCATTGTTCTCCTGATTTCTTTTGCTACCAAAAGGACCCTGGATTTGGCGTCTTAATAACCATGGCCTCCCAGTGACAAGCCCTGACCAAGAGTCAGAGGGGCCATGAGGACAGATGTCATGAGGAAAGTGTCAGGGAAAAAAGAAGAGGAAAATGGCTTATTTCTCTGGCCAGAGATGAAGTCTGTCTACTGCTTCATTCTACAGCTCACGTCAAAATGCTGCCTTCACTGAAATGGTGGGGCCTAGAATCTTGCAAGGAGGATGTCTTAGAACTCTCAAACAGAGGAACAGTGAGGCTGTGGATAAGTAAGTTGTGTTCAGATCAGGTGCCTTGTCCTCTGCCCTCACAAAGAATGATTCTTTCCAGGGTAACTCTTGAGGCACCCTCTGTGGATTTCTCCTCCTTTCTAGAATTGGTGCTGAGCAGGTCACCTGCAGCAGAAACGGCCCCTGTGTGGAAGAACCATTTCATCCCTAGGCAAAAACAACACCTTGTTTTCCCTTAAAGAAAGGTGCTTCCATCTCTCCAGTGGCCTGCTTTTCCATGGTTGCCTTTCATCCTTGGGGAGAAGAGGGCAGTACAGTGTTGGATACAGGATTGAAATTCTCATAGGTCTAGTCATCTGACCGTCAGGCTGTCTTCTGATTCCTTTGGGCTGTTAGTGTTCTGCTTGCCTCAGTGTTTCAAGTGGCATAAGGTAAAGGTTATTCCAAGACACTCTTGAGCAGTCAAAACCAAGGGGAGTGTGGTCAGCAGAACACTTATGTTCAGGGGACTGTTCCTTGTGGGACTGAGGATTATGAAAGAAGCTTAATCCTGTGCTCCAGACCAGTAAGATGCAGAAACCCATCCTGCTTCCATAATTTCTTTCTAGGAAACTAACAGCTCTGTAGGTGGACTTCCCTCAAGCCACTGCTAAACAGCTCTGGGATGACCTTCTGCCCAGCAGCAGATCTCAATTTGGAAATGTCTCCTTCACCACAACATTAACCATGATTCATTAAAGATGATGCAAGAAACCAGTCAGACTTCTTAAAAACAAACACACAAGGAACAACAAATGCCAGACAAACCACACTAATTGCCGTTCATAGGGAAAATATAGAGGTATTTTTAATGGCCAGTCAAGACTCAGAAATTTAGGAATCCTTGTCAGAGTCCACAGGACTCTTCTTAGTACATGTTCCAGCAGTCAACATACACAAGACCCCAGGCCAGGCCTGCTCACTTTCTCCTCCCAGGAGATTTTGGTAACTGTATTACTCTCTTGTATTTATGGAAAGCCCTTCCCCACATACCTGCTCCAAGACCCCCAAGTTTCTCTCTGTTTCTGATCTTGCCTCTGCCCCATCATCCATCAGAGCTAGTTTTCCCCTGAACTTTTTGAAAAATTTCATTCTGTAGCACCAGCAGACACCAGAGAAAATGAAAACTTATTAATTTGCTCTTCTCCTCTTTCTTCATCTTCCCTTCTTACCCGGGGTCTTACTCACCTTACTTTCCACAACACTTTGGCAAGAAACACAAAGAATCCTCAAGAGAAAGAAGGTTCCCTCTTTCCACTGCTTTCCTAATGAGAAGGTATATGTATTTCCATTTAAGATGCACATGGGGTCCGCCATCTAGCTGTGGGTCAGCATTTCTGCAGGCCATAGAAAGCATTACCCGGGCGCAACTGTGTTCTCTAGATGGTTCTTGTGGCCTTTGCAGATCTGGTGAATGCAGATTTGCCTCCCGGTCACCTGAAAGAGATCACCAAAATCTAGTTCCTGGCTGCCATGTAGGGTAGGGATGATTCTGACAAAGTCTCAAGTGAGGCGCTATCTCCCTCGGGTGGCAGAAATTTGTACCTGCTGTGCCTGGCAATCTCACCCTTTGTAGGTCTACCTTCCCTGAAGTCCAAATGCCACCCTAGCTACTGTGTCCCTGTAGGACTGTGGTTGGATACCAGAAAAAACTCAATATCTACTTCTGGATTGGAGTTTTGGAACTGTTACTAATCTCTCCACTGACTGAGCAAATCCTACTTGTATGAGAGTCGGCTTCTTGAGAGTACTACTATCTTCACTCATTTTAATCTGTTACTGCAGTACCAGGGTAGCCTGGAAGCAAGACTGGCCATCCTTTCCCTCTAGAAGACAGAAGTGGTTGTCTCTCTACTCCATGCACTGCCTTTTCCATTACCTTCAATCCTAGAATCCTCAACAGAAGGTGGAGGGACTCTGGGCATGTTGCTCCTCAGTCTCTTGTAGAAGGACTCTGATGTTCCTGTAACATCTGCATCTCTGGAGTGGTGATTACTAGTGCGGAATCACACAAGGACTTTCTTGTGAAAAGTGGTTAGAAATTTCATTTAGAAGAAATTTATTTTTAGTAGGAGAAGTCAGGTCATCTGTAGTCTGAGAATGACCTGCATTGGTTATTTTAAGTGGTGGAGGGGGTTTTGTTTCATGCACGTGCTAGCTTAGCCTGCAATTCTCCTTCCTGTAGTTCACCTATTGCTGGAAATCACATGCATGCACCACTTTGCCTAGCCACTGTTTTTCACAGGAATTTTCTCTATGCCTACACTTGTGGTCATAACATACCTGGACATTCCTCGCCAAAAATCAGAAATGACCCCATTCCACTTAGAAGAAATGGAAAATGAGGAAATGTGAATATGGAAAGGATTCCTTGGAGACTGAGGACAGATGGGTCTAAAGTTGCCCAAATCTGTGATGTGACTCATCGTGAAAATCTACTACTGCGGGTCTCACCTAACAGCCCCCAGAAGGAGGCCAAAACCATGCCTGACCACTGAGAAGCTGAGGAAGGCTGGCCTCAATCATGGCTGCTGACTAGCTCATGGTTCCTTCCCCTCAAACAAAAGTCTCAAAAGGAGACCAGGTTTTGTGTCAACAAGGTGAAATATCCTGTTGGGAAATGTAGTCCAGGGAACCCTGGCACATGGTCCATGTAGGACTTTACTGGGGGCTTCACGGTATCCCTGTATCAAGGTTAGGACACATGAACTAGCCAGCCTCATTCGGAGCTCATTTTGACCTAAATAGCAAGAAGTGTGACAGGATCAGAGTCTTTGCAGGAATTCCTACTTGTCCTGGCTTGGAGAGGACACTTGGGGAAAAGGGGATGCAGAGAAAGAAAGAAATGAAGATATACCTACTCCTTTCCAATAGGGTCGAGATGGACTTCTCTGATCTGAGTCTTAGAATCTGCCCATTACCACTTGTAGACTAAAGGCTCAGCTCCCACCAGTGCCATTACTGTGCATTGCTATAACAATAGTGTCATGGTCATGCAGGTTTCCTTTGACTATGAACAGAGAGACCATGTGTTCAGAGGGAGAATGCAGGGCTAACAAAGCTAGTCATCAAGGGTTGTGTGAAAAGGGACTCAAGCCTGATTCACAGCAATACAGCCAAACTGATAGGGAAAAGAAGGATAGGGAAAAGGAGGAAGCCCATAGTCTGTCATCACTGGTCCTTATACATTTTCGGGGGTGAGGGAAAGACCGTTTGTGGGGTGCACAGGCTTCATAATTACTACTTGATTACTACAGTAATCAACCTCCTGTAGCAGTAGGTCTATGATGGTGGTGTTGTATTGATGTTCAGGGTGTTTTCTACCAGTGGGATGTCAAAACTCCTTTCTTGTCAGGCGCCGGTGGCTCATGCCTGTAATCCTAGCTACTCAGGAGGCTGAGATCTGAGGGTTGCGCTTCAAAGCCAGCCCGGGAAGGAAAGTCTGTGAGACTCTTATCTCCAATAAAAAAAACCACCAGAAAGCCAGAAGTGGCGCTGTGGCTCAACTGGTAGAGTGCTCAGTCTTGAGCTGAAGAGCTCAGGGACAGCACCCAGGCCCAGATTTCAAGACCCACGACCACCACCTCCACCACCAAAATCCTTTCTGCGCTGGGTCTCCACATCCACCATTACCCTGAGTCCTCGGAAGCCCCTGAGTGAAACGATGGTATTGTCCAACTTTACACATGGGAAGACAAGGCTCAGGGGTACGGCTCTCTTTCTAAACTTAGGTACCTGGACTGAAGAATCTGAAAAAGGGAAAAGGAGGACACACCCTCTGACCACCAGGCTCCGCCCTCACCCACTGGCTCATCGATCTGTCCATCACGGGAACCCAGGGGGGTTAGCTGCAAAGAAGCTATTCTAATTCCTATTGGCTAGGGCCGTGGGTGGCATGACAACAAAATGTGACTTGGCTGGCAGAAGGCAGGCCAATGGGATGGCCATGTAGTGTCCACGAAGGCAGGAAAGCCTGGTGTTATTGGATGCAGACGTTCGTGGCTCCTGCAGTAACAGGCATCTGTGAACGTCACTCTGGTCACGCGGTGACCACACCAACGGTCTCCCCAGCTAGACGCTGGGGATATGAACTCTCAGCGTGAGATGTTTAGCCGGGGACGCGGTTTAGGGGCGGAGGGTGGGAATCGCTTCAATGTCTATAGGGGCCGCCGAGGAGGTCCCAAGGCACCTGGTCTCGCCCGTGATTCAGGACCTCCACAAATAGTCAGAGCCCACCCTGAGCCTCAAAGCTACAGGTTTGAGTCAGAGCCCAAGTTAGAAACAGTCTCGTCAGGAGCAGCTGAAATTCAGGGTGGCAGGGGAGAAGCTAGCTCCTCAGCAAAAAAGAGGAAGGGTACTCTGTTTTCAGTGGTCAACTTCAATGTTGAGGCTACGCTCAAGGATCACAGGACCTACCATGTGGCACGAGGCCAGGTCAGAATCCCTAGACAGGAAAGCTGTGCTGCCAATGTGTCTGCAACTTGGGCAGAAGCAGCCCCAGCCCCTAGGGGGAGAGGTGCACTGGCCCCCAGGGGGACAAGCACTCTGGTCCCTGGCCTCATGGAATCACAGCAGGCCTCTGCCACTGCTCCACAGCCCATTAAGTCCAAGCCTCGCAGAGCTTGGGAGGAGAGAAAGAAAGCCAGAGAAGCTAGCAAGTTGGCCAGCCAGAACATCCAGTGGTCCTCCTCTGACAATGAGACTTCAGAAGAGTGTCAAAGGAAGCCGCGGAGAAAGCCACAGAGAAGGCTGCCCCATACATTGAGTCGTAGACGCCCAGCTGATTCTGAGAGCCCCAAGGAATCAGAAGGCATAAGTGGAAGCTCTGATGACCACAATGAAGATATGCCTGATGATTCTCTACCCCTTTCTCCCGGGGAACTAAAGACAATCAAAGAAAGGCAGAGATGGCTGGAAGAAACTTCCTGTAAGACAAAACAAAGTGTGATCAAGGAATACCCAGGAGCTGCTGCTGCTTCTGCTACTGCTGCTGCTTGTGCTGCTGCTGCTGCTGCTGCTGCTGCTGCTGCTGCTGCTGCTGCTGTTGCCGCTCCTGCTACAGGTGACATGCCCAGGGCCAATCTTACAAAGAAAGTGGCTGAAGAGAAGAAATTCCCAGAGGGTCCTTCAAGAGTTACTCTGGGGAGAAACACCCCTTCTTGGAGGCAGATAATGAAGACACCTCCCCTGGAAGCAGCTGTATTACCCCCGATCTCAGGTGTTCCTCCATTTGGGGGTTCCAAGGCACCTTCCTCTCTGCATCCTAGCCCAAAGCAGTACAAGCAAGACAGCAATCTAAAGAGATATGGGGGTTGGAGGAGAAGGAAGTCCTGCTCAGTGGCTAGAGAACATGATGAGGCAAATAGAGATCCTGGTCTGCAGGCCCAGGTGAGTAAACCATCTTCCCCCTCCTCTCACCATGCACCTCCCTTCACCAATGCACGCATCTTTGCCTACATTCCCCCTGCTTTTTGTTCAGGGGTTGTTACTGGTGGTCCATAGGCATTAAGATGCCCAATCCAGGGTCTTTGTCCTATGGGGATATCATGAGAGCACTTGCTAGATGCCAGTCAGGGTTTGCCAGGCTCTTCATTTTCTGCCTTTCCAGACAGGGGCTGAGATAGAAGCAGGGCTGGCTGCTAATCTGAGTCTGGAGTCTGCTTAGTCTGGGCTGCGCAGCTTGTATCTCATCAGCCTCCTGATTGCTCCCTCCCAGATCTTCTGTAAGCCTGCCTGGAACTAGTCCTGGTATTTTTCATACTCAATGCACTTCCTTGGTCGGCTCCGCCTCCTGGCGTGAGGCTGACAGAGGCAGAAAGTGCTAATTAAGTGAGCTTCTCACAATGGATGGAGCTGCATCATATTAAGTGGCTAAGCTAGACTCAAAAAGACAAATACTGCATGATTCCTCAGATGTGCAGAAGGTAGCTATAAAGCAAGTAAATGGACATGACCACAAATGTGAGGCCAATCTGAGGGAACTGGCGGAAGGTGGGAAAGAAGGGCAGGAGGGTGGGGACTATGTGATAGCCAGTATGTGAATCCATAATGAATAGGTCACCCTGATAACCATTTAATAAATTGCAAAAAGAAATTTTAAAAAGAGTGGGAAAATAGGAAGAAGACAGTAGACAGTAATAAGGACATGGATATGATTGAAGTATATGAGTTAAGAAGTACTATAATGGTACACTCCATTCATAATAAATATTATGTAATAAAACAGTAAACAAAAAGAATGGTAAAATAAGGGGAAAGAAACAGTTGTCTGGTTTCCTTTTTGTCCGTTTAAAAATGCACACTCAGAAATTTTCCTTTTAGCTTTCAAAATACAGGCCAGATCAACCCAACTTGTCAATGCATGGGGGAGAAATCAGCGGTGGTTATCACCACACTAGAGACTCACCTGTTCAAATGAAATCACAGCCCTTCCCCCAGAGACAGCAGCGCATCCCACCCACAGGTTCTGCAACTACTGGTGAGTCTTGGGGTTTGTGAGCAGTGGAGGGGACAGGGGTTGGATGATGGAGACATCGATTTCTGTTCCTTCTGGAGGAGAAAGAGGACTCAGGAGAAAGATTGCCTCCTTACCCGGACAGCATTTCCCCAGGACCAGTGGTGTGACGACAGGGCTGGTCAGCACATTGTCTCTTAGGTGGGGAGTGTGCGGGAAGATGACTAGTAACGGTGCTCAACTACAATACAAAAATAGACTTTCAGCACATCAGAACCTTTTCTAGCATCCAGCTGAGAGCCACAGTACTAGAGGGCCTGAGTTGATAGCTTGAGTGACATTTCAGGGTAAGAAAAAGCAGGCTCAGGAAGCAGTGGGGATGCTGGGTACAGCAGAGGCAAATTGCTGCCAGCAGAGGGGGACGCTACCTCATTTGAGAGTCCACCGGACTCTCAAGAAGTCCTGCTTCCAAGAAAGCTGGAATTTTGTGTTCTATTTCAGATTACCAGGAGCCACCTATGCATTCCCATGGTCCAGAAAGGCCACAAGAACCATCTGGACAACCTGGTTGTGCCCGGGTAATATCTTCTCTAGTCCCTGGGAATGCTAGCCCCAACGAGATGGTGGGCTCCTTGTCCAGGTTAAATTAACACACACGCTTAATCTTATCATATACCCCTTGAAGAAAGGAAACCACCCTTTCTCTTGCACAGAACTGTAGGATATGGGAGGGGGTGTAAGGGCTCAGGACAAAGCAGAGGATGAAGAGAGAGAGGAGGCCAGGACACTAACTGTTGTCTCTTTTTCCTTCTTCCTTACTGGGCTAGTGTCTGACGCTACATACAGATATAGAGAATCTCAAGGAACGAGTAGGTATGGTGGGGCCCAGGGCAGAGACAGGGGCAGGAGCAAGAAGAGATGCCCGGATGGTTTTATACTTGGGGCAGGGCCTTCTACATGTACAGATAGCATTACAAAGATTAACATTCCCCTTGGAGAAGAAAGCAAGGAGCCTTCTGTGTCTTGACTGCTGGGTCACACTCAAAAAGCAGTGTATTGTCAAAACTCAGCATGGATTCTGGCAACCAGTATCAGAGTTCTTCTCTCATGGCCTTTAGAGATACCTCCTTTATTTTCTTTATAAGTGTTGGCTGGAGTGCCTTCTCTGGTATTTATTATATCTTATTTGCCTTTAACTGAATATTTCTGTCATGCCAAAGCCTTGAGAAATCCTAGTTCAATTGTTTACGTATGGAAGAAATTTCAATTTTGAATTCTAGTGATGGGTGGGATCAGTCCCAAAGCTTTTTGACACTAGCTAAGGGAGTCAGTTGGGGGAGGGGCTGTAAGTTCCCTTGGGGACATCCAGGAGCAAGACAGTGGCATTCCAAATGTGGGAATACTCAGTTATGCTTTTCTGTTTTAGAGGCCATTCAGTCCCTCACTGAGAAGTTCCAGTCGCTGGGAGGTAAGTGTTACTCCAACTTTCCACTTCTCAACATTTGAAGAGAGTCTCAGGCTGGCCTCAATTCTTCTTGGTTTCACAGAATGAACACACCATCTTCAAGAGATACAGCTAGTACCTGTAGTCCAGAGTTGTCACCCACCTTCTTCAGTTGAGTTCTTCTTCATCCAGTTTGTCCTTTTGACCCCTTGTTTAAGCCCTACAACCCCAGTTCATAACAGCTTTAAATTAAAATGCATTTTGTGTTCTATGGTCTCCTCTCCTCTCTGTCTCTCTCTCTGTGTCTGTCTTGCTCTGTCTCTGTCTCTCTGTTTCTTTCTCTGTCTCTCTCTCTGTCTCTGTGTCTCTCTCTGTCTCTCTGTCTCTGTCTCTGTCTGTCTCTGTCTCTCTCTCTCTCTCTCTCTTACACACACACACACACAGATGCACACGAGAAGGGTAGGGAGTTGTCCAGTCTCAGAGTAGTGAAGGGAGAGTACCACTGGCATTGTAGGGGAAGGCTTTTTTTCCTAGGGGTTTCCAAGCCTACTTCTGAGCCAGGAGCTCTACACTCACATTTACTTTGGTTTCCTCAATCTGAGTTCTGGATGAATTTGTTGTGACCAAACTAACTTACTGCCCTCTGCTAACACCCTTCTTTCCAGGAGCTGAAAAGCCCCTTTCCGAGCTCCAGCCCCACCTGCATCTCCTACTTGTTTTTGCTGTCCTGCTTCTCCCCTCGCAGCCTTCTTTTCTGTCCTCAGCAACACTGACCTCTCCCATGGCTCTCTACTGGTGTCTCTCCCATAGAATCATTACAGCAGGTATTGTGTGTGCAGTTCTGCTCCATTTTTCACTTTAGAACTGGCTCTTTCTCTGGACTCAACATCTACTCATGGTGGCACCACACTGATACACTAATGTTAGTTAGAATTGTTCATTGTTTTCATTTCCTGCTGAGACCTCATCTTGGAAATTCATACTTGCTGATTTTGTATTCCATATCCTAAGAGACCCTGATAACATTACATTCAGTGGCTGAGCATCAGGAATATATAGAACTATGGGAGGAATCAACTGTGGGTGTTTGGTACAGAAAAAAGTAGATGTTAGTCTCTGGATTGGAGATAGAGACAAGTCTCTCCTAACACCACTAGGCGAACTTGGGTGAAATTGTCCTCCAGCAGCCAGAATAGACAGCAAACAAACAATACTGCCATATTCACCAAGTGCTGAACCACCAACCAGACCTTCTGCAGACAATTCACTCTATGGCCCTAAGTTTAAAAAGTGTCAGTCATTATGTAATGATTCATGCTTATGTGCATGAATGGTCCCATCCATGTACTTGTTCACATTTAGCTGTGTATCCTAGCTCAATTTTTCTAGACTGCCTCCAGTGACGACTGTATATTCATTCTCTCTCTCTCTCTCTCTCTCTTTCTGTCTTTCACCTTCCCTTCCTCCCTCCCCCCTCTCTCTCTGTGGGTGTGGCGTGGGTGTGGGTGTGGGTGGGTGAGTGTGCGCACGCATGCACATGCAGGCATTCACCAATGTTGAGGCTTGAACTCAGGGACTGGTTCTGTCCCTGAGCTTATTTACTTCCACTTGAGCGACAGCTCCACTTTCAGCTTTTTTAAAAATAGGGCTTAATTGGATATAAGAATATCACAGAGATTCATGCTCAAATTATATTTGAGTCATGATCCTCACATCTCAGTCTTCTGACTAGCTATGGCTAACAGGCATGAGTCAGTAGCACCCAGCCACAGGACTTATTTTCCCCTGATTTCCATGTCCTGGCATCACCTTTACCACAAGACAGTTGGGATGGCTTCCTCAGCCCTGGCCTCTGGCTGAGTAGGTCTGATAGTCAGTACAAATCCATGTTTGAGTGAGTAGAGTCAAGGGAGAGGAGGGAAGAGGTGAACACTCACAAGACTGGGTGTTTACATACAGAGCACAAAGGAACCCAGAGCATTCCAGGTTCATTGGTGTGTTGGCCTGGCTGTGTGTGCTTGCAAATACACCTCTTCTGTCCTGAGGGGGAAAGGTGTGAGTCAGTAGAGACACGGCCTCCAATTTGCAATGGTTCAAATGGGTGCATGGCATCTGTCTTTCACCAATGGGGATTTCCAAGGTATGAAACAGGAAGGGCATGGGGTAGGATGAAGCTGAAGTCTTGAAACCCAAGGAGAAGTTCAGTGATTTCAAAATGTTGGCGTTGTGGCATATTTGGTTGAATGGGATGTTTAAGTCCTCCTGGTGGATGCATGATGATGTGCAGGCTGGCTTCCTCAGAGCAGCTGTTTCCCCCATTGTTTGTAGTGAATGTTCCCTGGGAGACCACCATACCCAGAGGGAAAGGGTAACAGGTAGGATGGGCCCTGCAGCATGGGTCAGGCTCCGTACCACCCTGCCTATCTATTCACTCTGTGTCCCTTCTGGTCCCCGTGTCTCAGAAAGTCACACCCTGAACATTGGGTAGGACAAATCATCACTTCAGAGCCAGAATAGATTAGCCATTCACTTTAATCCTCTACCTGAAAGGTGGGCCTGATCATGTAAGCTATGACTGACCTCTCTCCAGGTGGTTAAGTCCTCAAAAGGTTACACAGAAGATTGATGTCTGAGTGAAGTCGTTTGACACAGACTCTGGCACCGAGGCTCTGCCACCAGACTTCTGGGCTAGTTGCAAGTAGGCTATGCTCCAGACTGGGCCCTACTTTGGAAGGCATGGGGCAATTACCAACTGGTGACAAGGATGGTGTAGAATCCTTGGGAACTAGCTTTGTCAGCCCTGCCATCTCTCTCCAAAGACATGGTCTCCTTGCACCGTATTCAGACTACTCTCAAGTTACTGTAGGGTGCTCACCACAGGCAGTAGTCAGAGCTGAGCCTTTGTTCTGGACAGGAGTAAGGGTCAGAATCAGAGTCTCAGGCGAGAGAAGCCCATCCGGACCCCATGAGACAGAAGGATGTGGGAACTCTCACTTCTTTCTGTGTCTAGACCCCTTTCCATCATGTCCTCTCCCAGCCACAAGCGAGACTTCCCTACTGAGCCCCAGGTCATGTCCTGCCTCCTACGATACAACTCAGCTCACATGAGTGCAGAGTGAGGTTGGCAGGGCTCTTTGTGAGAGTAGGAAAGGAGCCCGGCTGGCGAGACAATCAGGGCAAAGGCCTGCAGCCCTCACTGTGGCCTGAGCAGTTCTCCACACAGGCCCCTAGGCATCACATCATGATAATTGCATCTGGATGGTCTGACCATGGACAACAGACTGAGTGGGTCCCAAAGGTGTGCACTCGAGTGGGCGTCTAGCCACAGAAAGAGCTCATGCAGATTATGTGGAGCCTCTGACTTGGTATAGACATGTCCTGAAGGCTGTGCAATGATCTTGACAGCCAAGTAGCTCTCTCCTGGAGACTTCTTAGTAACCCCTCCACCACACACTCCAGGTGCCCAGCCTTATGACATCTCCCATCTAGTGGGAACTCTGCTTATCTTCTTTATTTTTATGCTGGTAGTGGGGCTGGAAATCAGGACCTGGGAGCCATACCTTAGCTTTTTTCTTGCTCAAGGCTGGTGATCTCTCCCACTTGTGTTGCAGCTCCACATCTGGCTTTTTGCCACTAGAAAGAATGCTGGGCCCCTCCCCCCTCTTTCCATGTGCCCTCTTTGCCTCAAGCATCCTCTCCCAGTTAGAAGTGGGACTGGCCTGGAAGTATCCATTTCTTGTCCTGCCTCCAGGTACTTAGCTCAGAATAGTGTCTGATTAATTTCTACTGGACCATGTACAGGACCATTGTTGAGAACCCATTAAAGCTCCACTTGGACAAGGTGCCAGAGCTTCCTGGGCTTCATTTCTCAACAAGGCCTATTTTATATGGGCCGGTTCTTGGGCTTGACCTCAGTTCCTGGGCTCTGTCCTTGGGTTTTTTTCTGCCCAAAGCTAGCATTCTACCAGTTGAGCCACAGCTCCACCTCTGGCTTTTTGGTAGCTAATTGGAGATGAGAGTCTCACAGACTTTTCTGTCCAGGCTGGCTTTGAACAGCAATCCGCAGATCTCAGCCTCCTGTGTAGTGTGAGCCACTGACACCTGGCTCTAACATGACCTTTCACTGTGTTGACAGATAACGTGACCTCCTCCTGGGACTCCAGCTAGTGTCAAAGTGTTTGTGAGCCCGCAAGCCAGTCAACAATGAGTCAGGTCAGGTTTCCCACACTGTACAGAGGTCCAGTACTGGACTGGCCTCTCTCTGGCATCTGTGAAGTCCCTCCCACAGTAGGAAATCCTCATGGTGAATGACAACCACAAATTCTACTGTTTAGTGTCAAACTCTTGAGTGACCATGGGCCAATTTCACCCCAGTTATGCCAGTAGTGCTCGGACAGACTCACTTCTCCACCTCCAAACCAGAGACAAATCTGCACTTCCTTCTCTTTTCAGTACCCCCATTTCCTCCCATATATTCCTGCTGCTGTGCCACCTTAATGCGACATGATCAGGGTCAACAATAACATGGAAAAGGAAATCATCAGCTATGGGGAGCTTTCCACGATGAGGGCCCAGCAGGAACTGAGAACAATGAAAAATTCCTGAGGTTAGCTCTTTGTATGGTGTCACCAGAGCTAGTGATTCTAGAGGGAGAAGTGGGCCCAGTTGTGGGAACTGGAACATACTTGTACTCTCTAGTATCTGCTGAAATTATTCTGAGAGAGCCTACCAGTGAAGGCTGTGGGAAAGATCAAGGTTGCTCAGGACAGAAAAGAAGGGTGAGAGGGGAGAAGCAGGACAGCAAAACAAAGGAGTAAAGGCAGGAGGGCCTGGGGCTCTCGAAGGGGTTCATCAGCTCCTGGAAAGAGGAGTGATAGCAGAGGGCAGTAAGTCAATGTGGCCAGAAGAAATCAATCCAGATCTCAGACGGAGGGAACCAAGGCAAGCCTGAGTGCAGGGCTCCTGCTCAGAGGCAGGACTGGACATCACTCAGGAGGAAAGCCTACATAAGGATGCCAGTGGTACTGTCCTTTCACTGCTGTGAGACATGTCCACCCCCACCCTTTTACTGTTCCCATGACCTCCACTCCAGACAGGAAGACGGCAGACCGCAGAACATTAGATGCACTTTATTTGAAACTGCTTCAACTGGATGGGGCAAGGTGCGGTGGGAGGGGGGGAGGGGGGAGGCGAAGGAGGGGCGGGAGGAGGGGGGGCAGGGAACCAAGGAGAGGTACTGGGTGTAGAAGAACTGTTCTGAAGCCGTTGA